CCCCGGCCCTCTCAGGGTGGCGCTCAGCTTGCGGGGCCCGTTACACCTCCGCGACCAGCCCCTCCGTAGCGGTCTCGTTACGGGCGCTTCAGTTACCTATATGGACGATTTTTTCTCCATATGTGGCATTCTTTCGGATTTAATCGCGCAGTTAAGAGGACACCTTTTAGGAGGAATAAAGCTCTTGTGCTGCAGGGCGTTAGTGTCGGCCGTAGGCTGAAAGGAGACTGGGAGGAAAAACCTGACAGGCTTGGGGGACGCTTCCCGCCGCACAGCCATCCGAAGTGGTTCACAAGAAAAGGTAAAATGTAGAAATAGAGGGTGAGCCTTTCAGCTTTTTTCAGACTTGCTCGGGCACAGCCCAGTTTCTGCGGCTTTCTGTAGTACTTGCAGTAAGTTCCAAACACATTTCCTGGAGTACACCTGATTGCCTAGGAGCTTGCTTCGGCGATGTTAGAGAGCCTTTCGAAAACAGAATGAAGTAGCTTCTAGTAAGCCTGGGAGGAAAAAAGGAAGACCTCATCCACACAGATCCTAATCTTCTTAACTTGCATGGTGTGCTGGTATTTAACAGAAATAGGAAAGCTTGTAGTCAGTGAATGGGAGAAGATGGGATGAGGTGAGGGACTGTTCAACTTGGTTTTGAGTAAATCCAAATGATTGAGAAAGCTGATGTTTATGAAAAAAGAATCTTCTGAATGAACTGGCGTGCTTCCCAAAACCCAGAAGCTACCAGACATAAGCTGCTATGAAATGTAGTATTTAGTAATAGCACATACTCCAGGTTTCTAAATAAAGCTTTGCGAGGTGAATGCTGAGAAGAAAGTAAAAATACAGATGGAGCTGTCTTTATATTTTGATTTTCAAATTCAGCGAAGTTTCTATCAGCTTTTATTTTGCAAGAGTCCATGGTTCTATAATCATTCACCTGCTGGGGGCATTAGTGTAATTTTGAGAACTGATTTTCAGTTTGGATTGCTTGAACTGAACCACATCTATTCCCGCAGACTGAATTTAGGGTGCAGCAAATACCATCTCACGTCTTCCCTGACAACAGAGTAGTTAGCTCAGCTTTTTGTAAATATGTTGAGGTGTGTTAGCGCAAGACCATCATCACTTTCTAACCGAATTAGCAGGAGCAAGTTTGAATGCAGCATTTTTAAGGGATAAACTGAAAGGATCTTAATTTTTAAGAAAAATGGGCATTTGAAATTCTGTGACTTAAAATAGCTATAGTAGGTTATCGAGTGTTTTGAAGGGGGGAAAATTACTTTAAAGATACTTTGCTATTTCTGTAAATAAAAATCCTATGTAATAAACTAGATCCAATTAGCTGACATATTTTTCCTGCTAAGATTTTTTTTTTTTTTTTTTGGCTAGTGGTGTATTTTGAGAAATCCAGTCACTAACAGACTATCGATTCTTTTCCAGTCTATATGGAATATCTGATTTATATTCTTTAAAATGTTTTAGAAAAGTTAGACTTCTAGTTAGAAGTTTACAGGAAAATGAAGCGTTCATTATTTCAGTTCAGAGATCAGTCGTTGCCACAGACTTCTTAAAAATTCAATAGCCTCTGTGGAAAGAAGCATTGAGCGTGACAAGGATTTGACTCTTGTTCTCTTTGCAGTATAGCCCAGACAGCGTGGCTGGAGCAGACGGAGACATTGACCCCACTGAAATCGCCTTCCCAGGATGTTCTTGTCGTACCAGCTCCTGTGTGGTTCACACGTGCTCGTGTCTTTGCCGTGGTGAAAATTACAACAGTTTGTGCCTCAGGCCTACAGCCGAAGAGGAGGAGTACGCCAGGCCCATTTTTGAGTGCAATGCCATGTGCCAGTGTGGTGAATCCTGTCAAAACAGGGTTGTTCAGAGGGGTTTGCAATTCAGACTTGAGGTGTTCAAGACTGAGAAGAAAGGGTGGGGTCTTCGCACTCTGGAATTCATAGCTAAAGGAAGATTTGTTTGTGAATATGCTGGTGAAGTTTTAGGCTTTAATGAGGCACGTAGAAGAATTCAGGCCCAGACATCAAAGGATTCGAACTATATTATAGCGGTGAGGGAGCACCTCCATAACGGTCAGATAATGGAGACATTTGTTGACCCTACATACATTGGTAACGTAGGCAGATTCCTGAATCATTCTTGTGAACCAAATTTATTTATGGTGCCAGTTCGAGTTGACTCAATGGTGCCTAAACTGGCACTTTTTGCAGCCACTGATATTTCTGCTGGAGAGGAACTTTCCTATGATTATTCTGGAAGATTTCGTAATTTACCAGTAACTAACAGAGAACAAAAATCTTTAGAGGAAGGTAACAGATTGAGAAAACCTTGCTACTGTGGTTCCCGCACATGTGCTTCCTTCTTACCTTGGGACAGCTCCCTCTTTTCCAAACCAGAGACTTGTTCAGGGAGCTCTCTGTAGCTTTTCGGTTCCTAGGCACACTGAAAAAATATCATTTTCCCTAGAGGTGAAATAAAACTTTGATTGTGTATTCCACCAAGGAGCATGCGTGGGTTTGAGTAACAGCTAAAAGACAAGATTTTGAGAATAGCTTCATCTAGGGACTGTTTTCAGGGTGGACGGTATGAAGGAGCGCCAGCGCTTCAAGATGTTCCAAAATCAGTTACTGAGCCAGGCCTGGTGGTTTTTTTTTCTTTTGTTTTCTTCTGAGAGCTTGCTGTATGTTAAAGCACCTCTCAATTCGTACCCTTCAGAAAAAATGAACAGTAACGTTGGCACACAGAAAGGGCATGTGATAACAATGAGAAATGTCAGTGAAAATTTCACAAGAGAATGAGACCAAGGAATGTTGACATTTGCAAGAAGAGCATTAGGTTTCTTAAATCCCATTAAAATAAATTATTTTTTTTTTAATAACTTGCTATAAATTTTTTTGTTCCACAAAACGTAACTAGTTATTATTGATGTAAAAAACTTGCCCAGAAAGATTAGCTTGAATGCTTTGTTCACCCCCAGCCTTCCATCTTCAGTCACATCTAGCTGCATGCCAAGACCTGGTTGTAAGCGGCTACTTCAGTTTCGTTACCATTTAGGTTCTGTGTAAATGGCGCAGTACTGCAGGCCCTGAGAAGTACGATTGTCCCGTCTTTTTAAATCGCATCTATCTTGGGGCTCATGTAATACAATGTCTGCAATAATAGGAAGCGGCACGTCCATGTGCCTTTCCAGCACCATTACTACACACTCGGGAAGCAAACTCAGAGTCTGCAGTCTAGGGCAGTATGATGCTGCTGTTCTGACCTCTGAAATGGATTAAAGGAGGAAATAGAAGAGTACACCTGAACAAAAACAAATTTCATTGTCTACGTTGTTGAACAGCTGGCAGATATGTGAGTGTTCCTTTCAGTTACTGAGTTGTTTTCACTGTTCCTACAGAGCCGGTACTGAGCGAGGCCCGTCCTTTCCCAGCAGAGGGAGAAGGTCATTGCCTCTGCTTTGCACCATTCCCGTACAGGCCTAACGCGTACACTGCTTTACCAAGCATCTCCTTACACCAGGGATACACGAGAGTGCCTGCCAGGTGGGGTACGTTCTGCGTCTGCACCTTGCTTCACTTCCTTTCTAGAAAGATCAAATTAAGGAAGCTTCCAACAGGCTTGTTTTGAACTCCCCCCAACTTTGATATACAAGTTGCGATGCTGCTTTTTCCAGTCACGCTGCAGCGTGCCAGCAGTGGCACAAACCCCGGGTTTATGTGCCCCGTACAGTTTGATCTTTAACCGTATTCATAACCTTTGACATAACAGACACACACAAGGTAGCGCGTCTCTGGGGGAGCAGCTGTTCTCCAAGCCTTTGGAAACTTTTTAATAAAAAAGACAACTTTGATTTGGAGCTGAAAGATTAACCTGATACTGAGGAGGGATAAAGGACAGTTTGCTGCTTTTATTTTGCTATTTGCTAAACAAAATCTGACTTTGTGTTAACCCATACTTCCTTGATAAACTTCAGCATTTGCCTCTCGCCATTCAATGTATGCCTTCATGCTTCTGCTATGAACTGTTGAGCTTTATGTATGGCTGTCGTTTTAGTTTAAGATGAATATTACCGCGTGATACTTCCTTGGGTTAATGACTAAGTGTCACTTCTGTTGGTACAGAAAGCTTCCAAAGGATTTCAGCTGCTGGTCAAAAGTAGTTTACAAGCTGAGTGGCCATTAACTTTATTTCTTGTGTGATGAAGGGCACCTGTTTCTACAAAAGCGCTCCAGGTCCTGTAAGGTGGAGCGCGCACTGCGGTAGATACTCAGGTTGCAAGTTCCCTTGTCCTAATTAGAGGCTTATCTGGTTTTCTTCTCCCCAAGGGCATTGCGCCAGGCACCTGGCCGCCTTCAGCCTGCAGGATGGGAGGGTGGGGAGTGGATGATCCAATCTACTTCCCCTTTCCCCCGGGAAAAGTTTCAGGACTAGTTTTATACCGTCTGTGTTCCTACTCCTCAAGATGAGATAGGTTTTCAAGATGACGGCACAGTTTGTTAGCTTCCTGTTATGAATATGTACTTGGCATGATTTTGAGTAGTTAAGGAAGCGTAGATCCCAAAACAATAGCCCCAAAACACAACCCCCCAAACACCATTAGCAGTATCGAGTCCTTGCATCACCAGCCGCCTTACACCCGAGAACACAGCCGCGGCTTCTGTCTCTGTGTAACCCTCCGCTCTCGGTCCCAGCCAGCCGATGCTGCTTCTAGCCGGTGAACCCCGTATCGGTTACCTGGGTAGAACAAACTTCCACAGCACAGACCAACAAGGGAGCGTTGTAGCGTTGAAAACAGCCAGCCACCTTAAAGGCCTTGCAAGAACATGAAATAATACGTTGTCATTGAGTTGAAAACCATCATGGCAATTGTTAACGGCCTTTTTCCATACAGCATCTGCATGATACCTTGCTATGCCTGGGGGGGTGGAGCAAAATCCTACTGAAAAGGAAAAAAAATAAAATCACATAGACCCTTGTTTGGACCTGATGAATTTCTGCTCATTTTTTCCTTCGGGTTCCTTTCAGCTTCGTGGAGTCCCAGTCTGCCACTTTGCAGTTCAGGGCGCTCGTTCACAACGAATCCACTCAGACAGCTCAAAAGACGGCGAGCTCCGTGTAACCCTCCCTCTTCTCTACTCTCAAACTGCAGCAATGAGTATCCCTATTTCAGTATTCGCTACTCACTCAAGCTTGGAGATTGACTTTCCCATTGAAATCTGATCAGTTTAATTCAAGGATGTTTAATGGAACATCTTGTACTACAACACAGTAAGTTACCCAAACAAAAGCAGAAGAAAGGGGACACGTTCCACTGTCTCCGCCGAACGGAGAGACTTTCCTCCACGTGCCACCCACAGCACAGTGAGTACTGACTGACATACCGGATGGTGTGGCATTGCGAAGCTCTTCACTTGAAATTGTAAGAATTTTCCGATATAACAAATTGTGTCTTTTTTTTCCAAGGATTTTTTTTCCAGAATAAAGCCCCAAAACAACTCTCGGCAAAATCTTTTATAAGGTATATTCCTTGTGGCAGGGACATGCCTTTTAGAAAGACAGACATAAAGATTTCCCTATTACTCTCGGTAAAATAGATGTTTTTAACACATAGATTTTGATTAAACACTTATTGCTGGTAAGGCAGTCTTTACTACACAAAGTATTTACCACAGCTTTTATCACACTTATGTGAGTGCCAAGTCATTGTGGTATATTCTAGAATAATTTTTTTTCTCCTGCTCGGTAGCATTCCCTTTACCCCCCACCAGAGGCTGGCAGCAAAGGGCTCCCCAGACGCTCTCCGACACCATTCCAACATGAAACACAAAGTGTCGAAGGAGCTGGCAAGCGATGGATTTGTATTAACCCCAGCTTGGATTAAACCCAAACCCAGTTTCCCCTACAGAAAAGATGATGCTGGGAAGGACTGGTGGCGTCACTGCAAATGTGTTTGTTCATCCACTACATTTTTCACTGTTGGGTCTCACAGGAGCTGAGAAGACGCCGAGCTCAGTCCCTGTTTCGCAGGCAGTGGGCAGCACCGCAGCCGACTGCGACGCGTTTGGAAGGAGCTGTTCCGGTGTGGAGCTTATGGCACAGGCGGTCTTGTGTTCGGTCTCCACTTACAGCAATTGCCCGGCACAGAAATACGACCAGATACCGTGTCCTAGAAGGAGCGACAGTGCAAAACGCTTTGTGAAAGGCCTGAAGTACATTCAGATCCCCAAATGAGGTAGCGCTCATTGTTCCGATTTCCCATCCTCCTTGCTAAAATCCCTCTCCTTTTAAAGGGGGATTTTTTTTTTATTTTTTTTTTTAAACAGAACAGTTTCAAAATTTACCTTATTAGGCCTTAGGGCTCACATCTGCCATCTTTTCACTTTAATGACCTTTTATTCAAGTGAAATAATTTGTTAGCTTCAGTTTCTAATTATGCCATTTTTGCAATTTGCAAGTCCCCAGAATAAGCCTACACCGTGTCCAAGAAACCGCCAGTGGTTTTCCATAAATAAAAGTCTTCAGCATAAATAAGTGCTTGAAATTTTATTCAAATATCTACAACATTTCTAATCACCATCACCCTGAGGATTATCATGCCTCAGTTGCAGAATAAAGGCACTTTGTAAAGAGGAGCAAGGTGTCTCGCCAGAAAAAGCACATTTCTGGACCCGATTTTCACTGTAACAGGAATGTAACAAAAGGGCTGCACCAACTGCCCCTGTGCATACCTGTCTGTCTACCAGTCCTCACCCTTAACTCCTTCAATTTTTTTTTTAAAGCTGTCTAGAGTTTAACTGCTTCAAATTTCTTTTAAAGCTGTCTAGAAGTTTATCAAGTCCTTGTTTACCAGATTTGAATGTAGAAATTCAAACTGCATATAAATAAAACTATTTAATAAAGATATTTTCTAAAGGAGCTATTAATTAACCTTTTAAAACACAATCGGTATGTTTCTGCTCAGTTTTGTGCTCCAGAATACTCTCACTAAAACCAACAGAATTCACCGATAAAACATTTGGTCAGGAGAAAAGTCCAGGCCAGGTTCCCCAAAGATAAATACAGGAAGGTTCTTCAAGCAACATTGAGTAGTGTTGGATTTTTCTTTTCTCCCAGCAGGATGTTCAAGCACTAGATTTTTCTACTCTGTGTCATCAGCAAGTGACACTCCACGTCTCTCTTCAGCCTTCGGCGAAATTCCCGTCTCTCTGTGACAGCCCTCTTGGTCACCGTAGCTCCGGCAAGGTGTCTGCTGCGCAGCGGAATCCCAGATTAGAAGCAGAGCTGTCAGGAGTGTTCTGGCTACGGGCCGCACAGCGATACCTGTAGCAGTAAGACTGCAGAATAAGAGGGGAAAGAGAACTTCAGAACATATCACAGCTTGTGCTTCCTTTGGCAGGAGTTTGTTCGATTAATACAGCAAAA